CGACACCCAAATCTATCTCTTTACCCCAGAGATCACTCCATCAGTCTTCACATGGATCACTAATCCACTAATGGCCATATAAGCCTGGATGTCACATCACTTCCTCAAACTCAATCTATCCAAAACTGACCTTATATATTCTCCCACACATGCCTCTTCCCTGGTCAAAATTGAAGGCACAACTCTCAACCCATCCCCACATGCCAAGGTTGTAGATGTTATCCTGGACTCTGAACTATCCTTTCAGCCCCACATACAATCACTGTCCAAAGCTTGCTGCCTCAACCTACGCAACATCTCCAAAAAATGCCCCTTCCTAATCAATGACACCACAGAGCTTCTAATTTACTCCCTGGTCATCTCTCACCTTAACTACTGCAGTGCCCTCTTCATTGAATTACCTTTACATAGGCTATCCCCTCTTCAGTCCATCATGAATGCTGCTGCCAGACTCATCCACCTTACCAATTATTCAGTATCTGCTACTCTTCTCTGTCAATCCCTCCACTGGCTTCCGCTCTCCCAACAAATTCAACTCAAAATACTAACAATTTATAAAGCAATCCACAGCTTGGCCCCCAGCTACATCACTAGTCTCAAAATACCTACCAAATCATTCTCTTCGTTACTCCCAAGACCTCCTGCTTTCAAGCTCCCTTGTTGCTGCCTCCCATGCTCGCCTCCAGGAATTTTCCCAGAGTCTCTCCCATCTTAACCCAACCTGTCTGTCTGTTTCCTACTCGGTCTACATTTAGATGATGCCTGAACACCTCTTCAGACAAAGCTTTCCTGCCCCCACCAAATATCTGTACTTTATTTTCTCCATCCGCTCCTACCCCACAATTATTACCTTTTGCATCAATTGACCCTCCCATTTAGATTGTAAGCTCTAATGAGCAGGGCCCTATGTTTCCTACTGTATTAAATTGTACTGTAATTGTACTGTCTGCCCTCACGTTGTAAAGTGCTGCTCAAACTGTTGGCATTATATAAATCCTGTATAATAATTGAGAATTTTCATAATTTGGGATTATAAACTAAACCAGAGACCACCAGGCTCCTAGCATACTAGGTCAGTCATAGCAGCCCCCATGATAGGTTCTTTACAAGACTTGAGGGAGTTCTCAGTCTATCCACATAAAATAAAAGGCCCTTTTTTTCCAAGGTACAGGAGAAGTGGGACTTTGGCGTAATGGGGAGATTTCCCTTACTTAGATGACACAGCATGATCACAGGATAGGGGGTGAGGGTACATTTTCCCAATAACCTGACAGAGGAATTAAACCTCCCCTTTCAGTATTTCACTGTAAAGAAGGAAAATAAACACTATTTGTGCCCAACGCATGGCTTTAGGAGCTCTGTTTCAAATGGTGGTAAAATAAGTCCCCTACACACATCCTGGTCACAGCAGGTAACAACATTCTATTCTACTCCCATAAGGGCAGGCAGCTGGCTCAGTTCCCTGAACTATTACCATACATTTAAAACTGTGAATATAATTACATAAAACATACAGAACACTTTTTTTCAACATTCCATTATTGATTTTATGGTTTCTGCCTCGTGGTAGATCATTCTCTAGTCCTGCTTCTTGAGTGCACTGAACTTTTTCAACCGAGCATGCTACATTCTGTATCTATGAAAGCAATTTTTTTTCCCTCTTTAAAACAAAGGGAGTCTTTTCAGTGCTACCCTAGTTTTAGGTCTGACCAAAATACAAAATGTACTCGGATTTGCAGGATCTGAATTACCTTAAGTGTATGCTTTTTATTAGTAGTGGGCTGTGGTGTAACAGATTTGTCTGCACGAACAGATGGACATTTCCAAATGGCAAATAGTTCACAATATTATATTCCCTATAGTAAATGTTTGCTACTAATATAAAATTATGAGCAGGCACTAGTGCAAAGAACTGAAGTACATAAAAACACAATGCACTATTTAGAGATAATAGGTTATACTTTACCACACACTTTTAAAAGATTAGATTTTTTTCCCCCTGAATCTCCAATAACCAGGATTTTGTTTTATTTTTTAATCTATGGAAATATGCTTTTTATTAATGCCTAGTAGTCATATTTACAGTTGTGCTCAAAAGTTTGCATAACATGACAGGAATCGTGAAATTTTGGCAATGAGATTGAAAATATGACCGATTATGCAAAAAATACTCTTTTCTTTAAGAATAGTGATTCTTTGAAGCCAATTATCACAGAGTTGTTTGACTCCTTTTTATATCATAAATGATAACAAATCACCCAAATGGCCCTGATCAAAAAAAGTTTACATACCCTGGAATGTTTTTCCTTGGTACAGATGCACAAGGTGACACACACGGGTTAAAATGGCAATTAAGGGTTAATTTCCCAAATTTGTGACTTTTTAAATTGCAATTAGTGTCTGTGTATAAATAGTTAATGAGTTTGTTAGCTCTCACATGGATGCACTGAGCAGGCTAGATATTGAGCCATGGAAAGCAAAAAAAGACGACCTACATAACAAGGTAATGGAACTTTATAAAGATGGAAAATGATCTAAAAAGATATCAAAAGCCTTGAATATGCCAGTCAGCACTTTTTAATCACTAAGAAGTGGAAAATTCAGGGATCTCTTAATATCAAACCAAGGTCAGGTAGACCAGGAAAGATTGCAGCCACAATTGCCAGAAGAATTGTTCAGGATACAAAGAAAAACCCAGAGATGACATCAGGAGAAATACTAGCTGCTCTGTCAAAGGACGGTATGGTTGTTTCAAAAGCAGAATATAACAATACTTGAGCTGCATGGTCAAGTTTCCAGAAAGAAGCCTTTACTGTGCCAATGCCAGGTTACAATGTGCCCAACAACACCTTGGTCACCTCACAGCTTCTGGCACACTGTAATCTGGAGTGGCAAGACCAAAATAAACCTTTATGGGCACAACCATAAGCGTTATGTTTGGAGAGGGGTCAATGAGGTCTATAGCAACAAAAATACCATCCCCAATGTGAACCATGGTGGTGGCTCACTGATGTTTTGGGGTGTATAAGCTCTAAAGGCACAGGGAATCTTGTGAAAATGTATGGCAAGATGAATGCAGCATGTTATCAGAAAATAGTGGCAGACAATTTGCATTCTTCTGCACGAAAGCTGCGTATGGGACGCACGTGGACTTTTCAACATGATGGTTACACTAAGCACAAAGCCAAGTTGACGCTCCAGCAGAAAAATAAACATGTAGTGCGCTCCCTTAGAAAATTTTAAACAAAAAATATATGCAATCATCAAATAGCAATGGTCCAATCCAACATGCAAAAAAGTCTTGGTATTGCAGTCTCATCACAGATTCCACAATGTGCTTGTGTTACGGATCCACTCCCTGCTCACCTTGAGATTTAACCTACAAATTATAATAGGTCAAATACACTTTTAAATGGACTGTGTATCCACCAAATTGTGATCCGTGTGATACTATATAAATGTGCTCCAAAATAAAGTGATTCAGTGTTCATATTATTTCACCGTGCCAACTGCTTTATGGTGTTTCCCATCACTGAATAAGTACCATGCACTCACCTCTTTCCTAGACCTAAAAAAATAGGTTAAACACTTAGAAGTGATGGTTGACTTCTACTTATCCACTGCTGCCTATTTGTGGCTACTTGATGCTGACCCTTTAAGAGACCGAACTCCAAAATTCTCAATGGGATGGCATGTACTCAAGGGAAGAAAGAATAATCCATAGTGCAACTCCATAAAACAGCTTTATTCAATTGTTAAAATTAAACTCACAAAGATAGACAGCTGGCAAGGTGAAATAATATGAACAATGGATCACTTTATTTTGGAGCACGTGTATACAGTTTTCCTTAATGTGAGTGCATTACTTAGCGTTTCAAACTGTGCTGCACAACGGAATATTTTTTATTTTTTTAAACACGTTTGGAGTCGAGGCTTAAAGAAGATATAGTGTCTGGAAGGAGTATCACACGGATCCCCATTTGGAGGATACACAGTCCATTTAAGTGTATTTGACCCATTCTAATTTGTAGGTCAAATCTCAAGGTGAGTACGGAGTGGATCCATAACACAAGCACGGTGTGGAATCTGTGATAAGATTGCAATAGCAGGACTTTTTTGCATGCTGGATTGGACTATTGCTATTTGATTGATGATTGCATATATTTTTTTGTTTAAAATTTTCCAATTTAATGGGGAGATAGCACAGCACACCACGTGTTTTTATTTGATTTAAAGTGAGAGTACACTTGGGGAGTGAGTGCAGCAATCTCTCTTTTCATTATTTTAATACTTTTTTTTTGGTATAGGGGTGCACAAGTTTATTATTATATTTACAGCAGAAAAAGGTGAAGGTTCTAGAGTAGCCATCACAGTCTCCTGGCCTTAATATCATCGAGCCACTCTGGGGGGGATCTCAAACATGGAGGCATTTTGCCTAGACGAATGGGCAGCTATACTACCTGCAAGAATCTGGGGCCTCATAAACAACTATTACAAAAGACTGCAAGCGGTCATTTATGCTAAAGGTGGTAATACACAGTATTAAGAACTAAAGATATGCAGACCTTTAAACAGGAGCCATTACATTTGTTTACTTGTTGCCATGTTTTGTTTTGTGATTCCATGACATTCTGTTATAGCCTACAATTGAATATGAATCCCATAAGAAAATGGGATTTGCCTGCTCGCTCATGTTTTCTTTAACAATGGCACATGCTATTACCAATTCTCCAAGGGTATGCAAACGTTTGAGCACAACTGTAGCGATATATATATTATACAGGGGAAGTAGAACAGTTTTGACAGTTTTTCAGTTGTATCACATAGTTCCTGGCATCCATACTAGCAAAATAGTCAGTGTTTGAGACTGAAGCAATGTAGAATAGAGAAGTCACCTTTTTTTTTTTTATTTAAAAAGTGATGAACATACAAGCTCATATCTATGCTTTATGATGCAACAAGAGCTGAATTATTGCTTAGATATGTGGATGAGAAGCAAGCTAGGAACTTTTCACCTGCAGTTGTCTTCTTCCTTCAAACAAAAGAATACTAGCTGCCATAGCAGAGTTTAAGCTTTCTATGCCAGGTACAACTGGAATTAACAGCCTCCTTCCGCCTGAATTCTCAGCCAGTAGCAGTGACTCTATACTAAGTCCATGAGTCTCTCCTCCAATTACAAGTGCACTAGGGCCCATAGCCCACTGTTTGTGATAATGTTGTATAGCAACTCTGGGAATATCGTGCAGTTCTTCATCTTCCTCATCACTGGAGGAGTAATAATCCTCTCCTTCGATGTACTGGACTCTTCTAGGATCACTGGATATCCAACCGTAGTCAATGGCTTTCCCAGATGTAAACTCATCCTCATGAGGAACAGTCTGACAGTAGTTATCCGCAACAAAGATTTTGGTATTCTCAGACAGGTAGTTACTAACTGTGTCCCACTCTAAGTTGGTTATAATTGGCAAGCGAAAGTGAGCTCCCATGCCTGCTCGGATTACTTTAGGTTCCCACGCATCAACACAACCTACAAAACGGGACAAGAAAAATAATGAAATCACTTCAGATACACTTATGTTATTACATACCATAAACAGGTTGACTTACTTTGAGCTGCTAGTTGCCTGGCTGTTTCTGACCTCAAACAAACTTTGAGTTACTAACACCGAACAAGCTTGCAGGTGTTAATAGTAACTGGCTTATTAGCTCAAGCTCAAAGTAAATGGCACCTTTGTATAGTCATAACAGCCAAGCAACCATCCTTTTTCAAAAAGTTCAACAATGGCAGCCTGTATATTCTTATTAAAAAAAGTTTCCTTTATATTTTATTTAAAGAAATATATTGCAATGGATGGGGAATTCTGTATACCACTGGTGGTACATAGACACACTCTATGCAGACATAGACAAATTTGTTGGTACCCTTCCACCAAAGAAGAAAAAAAAAAAAAAAAAAAACACTTTCTGAAATAACAACTTGAAACTGTCCAAAGTAATTAGCATCCATTATTGTTTAATCTACATTAAATAAAAGTCAGGCTTTGATTTCGATCTAAAATAATATTCTAAGCAATGAAAGAAATGAAAATGGCATGGCCGAAAATATAGGGCTTGCCCTCCAGAAGATTTGCCCCCCTACATGACCAGGCCATTTTTTGCTATACGGTGATGTGCTACTTTAACTGACAATTGCGTGATCATGCAACACTGTACAAGAATTAAATTTATATAATTTTTTCACACGAATAGATCTTTCTTTTGGTGGTATTTGATCACCACTGGGTTTTTTATTTTTTGAGCTATAAAAAAAACCCTATATTTTTTTACTTTTTTTCCTGTAAAACATATCCTATAAAAAATATAAAATTTATTCATAAAAATGTAGGCCAAAATGTACTCTACTACATCTTTAGTGAAAAAAAAAAATCCCAATAAAAGTGTACATTACTTGGTTTACATGAAAATGATAGCATCTACAAATAACAGTATATACAGCAGGTAAAATAAACATTGAACACATCACCATCTTTCTCAGGAAAAACATTTCTAAAAAGGTCCTATTGCGTTTCTAAAAAAGGTACTATTGACATGAAATCCATGCATACAAAGAAACCAAAATAAATTATTTCAGAAATTATGTGTAATAAAATGGAATGACACAGGGGAAAAAAAGTATTGAACACAGGAAAGAAAGGGAGGTGCAAAAAGACCTGCACAACATTGTTGCAAAACAAACTGTTGGCACTGGTTACAGAAGAACTCACAAGATTTCTGACAGAGGAGTAAAAATAATTATCAGAAGAGTTGTCCAAGGGCCAAGGAACACTTGTGAGAGCTTCAGAGAAACCTGGACTTCTTATAGATAAGTCTGTGAAATAGTGGGAGAATATAGTCTGGTCAGATGAGACCAAAATTGAACTCTTTGGATGTCATAATACACATCATGTTTAGAGGTCAAATGGCACTGCATATCACCCCAAAAAGACAGTATCAACAGTGAAGTTTAGAGTTGGGAACATCATGGTGTGGAACGGTTTTTCAGCATATGGTACTGGCAAGCTTCATATCACTGAAGGAAGGATGAATGAAAAAATGTACCAACACATTCCTGATAAAAATCTGCTGTCATCTAGCAGGATGATGAAGATGAAGTGAGGGTGGACATTTTAGCAAGACAATGATCCTCAACACAATGACAAGGAAACTCTCAACTGGTTTTAAAAAAAAGAAAATAAAGCTGGTAGAATGGCCCAGCCATTAGACCAATAGAAAATCTATGGACATAACTCAACATCAGAGTTCATAGAAGAGGCCCCAAAACCTTCAAGATTTGAAAACTGTGTGGAAGAATAGGCCAAAATCATACCTGAACAATGCATGCAGCTAGTTTCTTTATACAGGAGGCATCCTGAAGCGATCATTACCAACAAGGGATTTTGTACGAAGTATTAAATCCATTTTAGGGTTTCAATATTTTTTCCCGTGTCATTCTATTTTATTACACATAACATATATTATTTTTACTTTTTTTTTTGCTTTGCTTCTTTGTATGTATGGATTGTACGGGTTGTTACCGACGTGGTGAAAACGTCATGTCAACAGCGCCTTTAGAAATACAATGCTCAGCATAAATGAGTACACCCAAACAGATTTGGCAGAAAACCTTTACTTTCCTTTCAGAATCAACATTTTCTATGGGACACTATACTACAAAATGCAGGCCACTGATTGCAAACAAGATTTGTTAATTTAGCCAATCAGTGATCACATGAATCAGGACTTCACACAGAGGTCCCGTACAGTGATCTGTGTCCTCCGGACACAGCAGGCATCGATCACGGTGGCGCGCGCTCCCAGGGAGAACGCACAGGCAATGAATGCAGGGGGATGTTTCGAAATGTCCACCCACATCGGCAGCACTCCCGTCCGGCCGTTTATAGACATGGGCTGGATGGGAAGAGGTTAAAGAAATGTATGATAATTGTGGGAAACCATTCGAAAAAAAAATTGATCACTATGAACCATTTATAATTTTTACTAGGGGTACCCATAAATCTGCGCAGTCCATTTTAGAGTAAACTTGTACAACAAGCAATAAACTACCTTTTTGTACTAGAACAGGCCAAAGAGCTATGTGTGAATTATATCATCACTATCTAATAAGCTATCCTACGTTTTCACAATGACCATGCCAAAGGAAAAATCTGATTGCTTGCTGTATTCACTGCCCTTCACCATTGCAAATTAAACATCTTAAAATACAAAACCAGAAGCAAAAAAAAAAAAAAAAAAAAAAAAAAAAAAAAACTCTGACGAATTAGGGAGTCTTTATATGACTTTTAGTTGAATTGACAGCTTAAAAAAAACAAAAAAAAAACAAAAACACAACTAACATTATTTTACAAAAGCAAAAAGTGAGGTGTAGACTGCTGTATACTATGGAAACCAAATGGCTGTCATTGCTGTGGGTACTCTAAATCGTTTAAAAAGCATACATATGGTACAATCTAAGTGGTACATTGTTACAGCCATTTACCTTTTTGATGAAATACTGCTTGCTGCAAGATAAAATACTATTGGTGCAGTGTTTTGTATTAGATACAGCACAGAACACAAGGTAGAAATGTATGTAATCATAAGTCAGAAGTAACTTGTATGCCTTAGCAACCATGTTCTCAAATGTTTACTTGGATTTCCATTTACTCCTACATTGCACATTGCTTTTACACAAAACATGTTGCCCATTTGTTTCCTACTCTTCGTCTATGTAGGCTATACTATAAATTAAATATATGCATATCAGCCCATTGAAGGGCATACATTGCAAAGCAGCTAACAAAATCCCTGTACTATTCAGGAAGTCATGTGAATTCATTAGGTCAGGGTCATATCTTTTGCTTTACCTTTTGTGAGCAATACTTTGTTACAGCCCGCCCCTGCTGCAGATCTCAGTATAGTTCCCAGGTTTCCAGGATCGCGGATATTGTCACATATGAGAGAAAGTGGTAACGTGTTCTTCAGTTGTGTTTCAGGAAATGTCATCTTTACGTGATCAGGTTTTCTAAAAATTCCTAGGGATAACAGAATTCCATATAATAACTAATCCTACAGAACTCTTGTAAATATTGGTAGCTTTTACAGTTTTCTACATTGTTAAAATAAAAGCTAAGAGCTCTGTAAAAAGTAAAGCCTAACACATACCATTTTTTTTTTTTTTTTTTTTTTTTAATGAGAATTGAAATCTTTGTTACCTTATCGTTTATTGAGGGAGACAGGAATTCTTAGACCACTCCGTTCTTTTTTTTTTCCTTGAGTATTGTGGATCCCGTCCACTATTCGTGAAATCAACACTTAACGATAGTACCTCCTAAAATCTGGAACACCTAAACATCCATTAACTTTATCCCTGCATAATACTTCATAGCTAATCCTTGGTTTTTTATTCACCCGTATATATTTACTTATCTTTTTTATGATCCTAAAAAAGGACCCCGGTAAGTATATTGGAAGCATATGGAACTTACACAGGATCTTCGGAACTACAACCACCTTTATTAAATTTATACAACCCACCCAGGAGAGTGACCCAATAGATATCTTTCTCAGTTCATCCTTAAATTAATTTATTCGTGGGATAGAATTTAGTTGATATAGATTTTTCAAAGAAAGGGTAAGCTTTACTCCTATGTAGTTTAATTCTCTCTTTCCAATACAGGGGAAGGCTTTCTGTAAAATCTGTTTCTCTCTCTTTGAAACTGTAATGTTTAAAATCTCTGATTTTGAGGGATTCATTTTCAAAATTTGATAGTTCACCATAATTATTTTAATATTTTCAGTAGGTTGGGTAATGTTACTCTGGGGTTCACAACATAAAATAACATGTCTTCTGCATAGGCCGCAACTTTATGCTCTACGTTCCCTATCGAGATTCCTTTTACATCTGTACTTTTTCGAACAGTCGCCAAAAATAGTTCCAGAGAAATAACAAAAAGCAGTGGAGAGAGTGGACATCCCTGCCTTGTCCCATTGTACATTGTAAAAAATTGTGATAATGACCAATTTGTCCTTCACCGCTGCTGTTGGGAGTACGATACAATTTTTTTATCCACTGAATCATCCTAGGTCCAATTCCTAGTACCTCCAATGTGTCAATCATAAATCCCCAATCCACCCTATCAAAGGCTTTTTCAGCATCGATCGACACAACTAACGCTGAGCCCGTTTCTTTCTTACTCTTGTGCAGAAGAAGCAGTGATCTTAAACCATTGTGTATCTTCCCTCCCTGGTACAAATCCCCCCTGATCTAAATGTATCCAATCCGGCATCAACTCCTTCATCCTATTTACTAAAACCTTTGCATATAGTTTTGTGTCTATATTTAAGAGTGATATTGGTCAATAACTAGCACATTGGGATGGATCTTCCCTCATTTCCATCCCTTCTCCCAGTGCATTCATATACATGAACATTTTGGGCACGAGCTGTTCTTGGAACTTCCTATATCTCAAAGTATATACAGTTGTGTTCAAAAGAATAGCAATGAGACATCACTAACCTGATCAATCACTGTTTTTGGCAGAAATGATATTTCTACATGGCAAATAATTTACTAGCAGGTGTAGTAGAGTAATAGAAATCCAACAGACCCAACAGTCATGACATGCATGCTGCTGATTCTCTGTAATTGAATCACTAATTGAAAGGGGCATGTTCAAAATAATAGCAGTGTGGAGTTCTATTAGTGAGGTCATTCATTCTTTGAAAAACAGGTGCCAATTATTGCCCTTATTTAAGGAAGGAAGGCAGCAAATGTTGTACATGCTGGTTACAGTGCATTTCTCTCTGAAATTCTGAGGAAAATGGGTCGTTCCAGACATTGTTCAGAAGAACAGCGTACCTTGATTAAAAAGTTGATTGGAGAGGGGAAAACATATAAAGAAGTGCAGAAAATGATAGGCTGCTCAGCTAAAATGATCGCAAATGCTCTAAAATGGCAACTAAAACCTGAAAGACGTGGAAGAAAGCGAAAAACTACAATTTGAATGGATAGAAGAATAGCCAAAATGGCAAGGACTCAGCCAACAATCAGCTCCAGGAAGATCAAAGAAGGTGTAAAGTTACCTGTGAGTACTGTTACAATTAGAAGACGCCTATGTGAAGCCAAGCTATCTGCAAGAAGCCCCCACAAAGTCCCACTGTTGAAAAAAAAGACGTGCTGAAGAGGTTACAATTTGCCAAAGAGCACATTGACTGGCCTAAAAAGAAATGGCACAACATTTTGTGGACTGATGAAAGTAAGATTGTCCTTTTTGGGTCTAGTGGCCTGAGACAGTTTGTCAGACGACCCCCAAACACTGAATTCAATCCACAGTACACTGTGAAGACAGTGAAGCATGGTTGTGCAAGCATCATGATATGGGGATGTTTCTCATACTACGGTGTTGGGCCTATTTATCGCATACCAGGGATCATGGATCAGTTTGAATACATCAGGATACTTGAAGAGGTCATGCCCTTGAAATGGGTGTTCCAACAAGACAACGACCTCAAACACAGCAGTAAACGTGCAACAACTTGGTTCCAGACCAACAAGATTGACGTTATGGAGTGGCCAGCCCAATCCCCGGATCTTAATCCAATAGAAAACTTGTGGGGTGACATCAAAAAAGCAGTTTCTGAGGCAAAACCAAGAAATAGAGAAGAACTGTGGAATGTTGTCCAATCATCCTGGGCTGGAATACCTGTTCACAGGTGCCAGAAGTTGGTTGACTCCATGCAACACAGATGTACAGCAGTTCTCAGAAACAGTGCGACTACAACAAAATATTCATTAAGTGATTCAAAGGAAAGCAAAATCTTCAAACATTTTTCAGTTTATATAGTGAATGTTTGAGTTTGTAAAGAAGAATACAAACACTGCTATTTTTTTGAACAGTCTAATATTCACTTTTCTTAATTTTTTTAGAGGAACAACACAAATTTGATATATTTTTTCTTCATGTTTTGATTTGGAATAGAATGTGTAGTGTTCCCAATGCATTTGTGTGTATGGAAATAAAAGCTATTAGAAGGATTTTAAGCTTTATTCACTTTTTTCAACACACTGCTATTATTTTGAACACAACTGTACATCCGGTCCCGTGCTCCTTCCTACAGCTGTACATCTCAATGTCACAATAATTTTTTCCTGTGAAATTGTTTTTTCCAGGGCTAACAACCTCTCCTCTTCTAGCCTGAACAGTCCGGCCTCTTTTCCTTTGTTTCTCCCTCTAGTTCTTTCGGGTTGCTAGATTTTATATCATATAGCTTAAATAGCAATAAATGTTGCGCTAAGTGTGAAAGAAATAAAATATAAATTATTTGTGTGAACAACTATACATACACAGTACAATGTGCAAATGAATGCCTATAAGTGATATCATATACGATCCATATAAGGAACAATACAATGTTCAAAGTCCACATGAATGACAGCTTCTACACACTTTGTGAAAAAGAGCATGCGTGTCTTGAATGCAATATTATACTGTTGATCTTCTTTTCATCCAAAAAAAATCACTAACGTGTAAAATGGAGGCTTACCAAATGAGAAGACCCCTTATTATAGGGGGTCTAATAAGGCTCTATATAGATGTAACTCCATCCGGACCTCTATCTTGTAACCGGAACCCAGATTCCACTTAGATAAGTAAGCCATTCTCATAGCAGAGCCAAGACAGTGTCATGTAAAATAAAACATGCCTCTCATAATGCAGTAAAACCGAATGTGCCTTTATTGCGCAAGTAAAATCCTACTTACAAAAAACATAGAAGGAATATCAGCATTCAAATACAGCTTCCAAAATGGCGGATAGCACAATGACGTCAGAGGGAGGCTCTGGAGTGTATATGATATCACTTATAGGCATTAATTTGCATGCTGTACTGTGTATGTATAGTTGTTCACATGAATAATTAATTTTTAATAGAATTTATTTCTTTCACACTTAGTAAATTTTAAATAGCAATAAATGTTGCACTAAGGGAGGATGTTCTCTTAAAGTGTCTGCAGCTCTGTACATTGTGAAAGTGGAGAATTTGCGCAGTTGAACCTATTCTGTTTTGTATCATATAGCTTGCTGTAATATTTTTGAAACGGTTTAGCATTATCAGTGGTTGAATATACCATTTCCCGCAATCATTTTTTATTTTCTCTAACCCTTTAACTTTATCTTTCATTAACCACCCTATTAAAGACTCTTCTTGTTTCCGGATCCATTCTCTTCTTATGGAACTGTTCTAAATCATAGAATTCCTTAGTTAATTTTATTTTCCAGATGTCATAAGTATGCTTCCACGCTTTCCCAAGTTGAATCTTTATCATGTCAACAGGCGGCATTAGTAGCCTCTAAGTTTCCAGTCACTGGGACTCTTATACGGTCCTTCAAATCCTTAGTGGACAATATTACATCTGCAGAGTCACAATCCTCAGTCACTACTCCCAGGCTTAGAGATAATATTTTGGCTCTTATCACACAGTTCGCACCACATTAAAACTATTGCTCCCTTAAGCTTCCCACAAATGTTAAGATCTTTGCGGTACACTTGTTATTTTAGTTGTTCTGATTAGATTAAAAGAAACTAGACATGGTACATGGTAGCCAATCAGCTTCCAACCCCAGCTTGTCAATTAAAGTGTTACTAAACCCACAACAGTTAAATTGGGCCATATATGCAATAAGCATGCTTGTTATACTCACTGTGGAACCTCAGGGGTTAATCCTCTGTATCGTGTAAAAAGGCTGTTTGATCCTTTCTTCTCTGCCTCGCCTCTTGTTGAAATGACCACCTGATACATAATCACATGCACATGCTCAGTTTGGTGTGTATTGCTAGAGGTTTTTTTTTTTTGGGTCTTGGGAGAGTGCATTAGCACAGGGTCAATCAGCACTGTCCAAACAGAGGGTCAGGACTTTCACATCCTTCTAGAGCAGAAAGAAAACTCCTCCTACAAGCTTTAACCAGTGCTCTGCTGAAGTCACAAGACTGCTTTAACTGCCAATGAGAAAAAAGTATTTAGCAGGTTATATTTACTCAAATATTTGAATTTTCATGTTGAGTGCACTGTGGGTGACCGGATATAGTGAATGCAGGGTCCTGGGTTTAATAACACTTTAAGCTTTGACAAAAAAAAAAAAAAAAAAAAAACTGGAAGCTGATTGGAAACTGCAAAATCTGGGCAGAGAAACCAGTTTTAGAAAACCAATCACTCTATTTTCATCCATAGTAAATGACTATCGGTTCTGTAACCATTTGCAGAGGTGTTTGTTAAAAATTGCCCCTGTTGTCAATCTGGCAGTATCCAATATTAAAGCCCTGATCATCCCCAATGAGGATGCCCTGTGTTTACAGACAAACAAATGCAGGCTTGCTCTATAATGCTATTTTCTCTGGTGGGCACTGCTTTGCAACCTGCTCTGCCAGTGACACTAGTCTGCCAAACTAGCTACCTGGGCTCTGGCCAAGACAAGGGTTCTGTTTTCTTTCCAAGATGATCCCTTACTTGCGGAGATTTGAGTTCATGTCTGCAGCCTTAAACCACTGTGAGGGATGGATTGCTAAAGGTCTCCCATCTCATTTTATATACGAGGCTCCTGTAAGTAAACATGAGGATTGTTAGGCTGAACTGCTGGGCTGAGTAACCAGCATGCAAAAAGCACCTGCTGTACATGACCTTTGCAGGACAGCATCTCTTCAAAGCTGCCCTAGACCCCTTATCAAGGATGTCCCTGGAGGCAAGAGCAACAATCTGCCCCAACAGAAGCAGGAAAGCTAATTTTTAATGGAGTCCAAGAAGAGTTCATTTTGTTACTTCCAGTCCTCACCTCCAAAAGCAAAAACCAAGTGTGGCAACCATCTCTGTCGCAAGCGCTGGACTGGATAAATCTTCAGCATGAGGGGGAGCCCCCACTTTCCAAAGTTGAGGGACATCTCTGAGCCTTTGCAGACATCTAGACAGCCTGCATATCAGATATCTGGGTGTGGGAATTTGTTTCCAGGGACTACAGGCTAGAATTCTGTTCTCAACCTTTTCAAGGGTCATGCCATCCATCCTGCCTATGTCACTCCACAGATTAGCAGATCTCCATGCAGCCCTCACAGGGCTTCTGGAGAAGAAGGGCTTCTAGTGGAACAGTTCCAATATTTCTACTCTAACTTGTTCACAGTACCCAAATCAAAAGGGGTTTTGGCCCCATCTTGAAATTCTAGGCCATATGGGGTTTATTTACTAAAGCTGGTTCACTCAGAATTTCGTGCACTTCTGCATGGAAACAAATCAGCTTACAGGTTTTTTTTTTTGTTAAAGCTTAAATTGAACAAGCTGAGGTTAGAAGCCAATTGGCTATCATGCACAGGTGCACGAGATTCTGAGTGAACCAGCTTTAGCAAATCTCTCACTTATCACAGCCTCTCTTCATCACAGAGATTTTATGGCCTCTGTGGACATCAAGGATATGTATTTGCATGTCCCTATTTTCCCAATGCATCAACGATTCCTTTACTTTTCCATGGGTGCCCAAGCATTTCTAGTTTGTAACATTTGGCTCATTCTCGGTTTACCAAGGTTCGGACTTGTGTGCTAACCTTGCTATGCTATGACCCATTGTGAGAAAACTGGGTCACCTCCTGTTAAAAAGCTGTTCTGGAGCTGAGGAAGTCCTTTCTTCCGGTCTCTGGAAAGACCCTGGACACCTCGTCTGTGCAGGGAATTTGGTTTCAGGAATCTTGTCTCATGATCAATATTTTGGATCTTCTGGAAATTTTGTTCTCGCTGAAATGCTGGACACCCTGACTGGAGGGTCATCTAATCAGAAATCAGTCAGGAAATGCCAAAGCGGTGGCAAACATCAGGGAGGACCAGTAGTCTTGCCTCTTTCCGAGGTGAAACGCTACATTCCAGCCTTGTCCACCATTTACATTGTGTTGTTGGCTAAGGTAATCTCTACATTCCAGCCTTGTCCACCAGGTCCAAGTGCTGTTGGCGAAGGCAATTTGCCTGCCAATTATCCATGGCTGGATAATTGGCAGATAGATTACCTTAGCCAACAGCACTTGGACCTGGGATAATGGTTCCTACACCCGAAGGCATTTCAGGATCTGTGTCACAGGCGGGAGGTGCTGATTGAGGATCTCATGGCCTCCAGGTTCAACAACCTGGAGATTTGTCTGCAGATACAGCGATTCTTTTGTAGCAGTGGGTGCTCTGGAGGCTCCATGGGATCAGTACAGCCTGATCTATGCCTTTCCTCCCCTGAAACTTCATCTTCGTGCTGTGCAGAATGGAGGAGGGCATTCTGGATATTGTTAAAGCTCTGGACTGGTCCAGATAAATGTGGTACGTCAACCTCATCAAACTCCTGGCAGATGCTCTGTGGACTTTTCCAGATCATTTAGATGTTCCAGAGGCTAATTTATTGCCCTGCTTTCATTCCAGGAAATGCTCCCTTGGACTTTTCTGCAAATAGGCTTGGATAAGCCTTTGGCCTTGAGTACCATCAAGGATCCGATATCAGTACTTGAGAGCTTGTTTCAAAGACTGCTAGTTTCTTGTTCCACCATCTATTGGTGTCAATGATAAATCATTATTCAAGCTTATGGTTTTAAGGATTTGGTTCCACCCTTTCCTGTCAAAAGGATACTCTTACTAGATCTGTGAGTGCTTGTTGGACTTCATCAGACTACCATTTCCCAGATTTGCAAGGCAATCACCTAGTCTCCTGTTTAGGTTTTTGTTACCAGGCCTCAATAGATAGAAGGTCCTTCGGGCAGTTCTCTGAGCTGAAAGCAGTGCCTAGCTGTTTTGGTGAGCCTGTTAGTGTTTTGCTGCTTTTGCCCACCCTTCAAATAAACTGCTTTTGGATATCCCAATACTCTATGAATTCTTGTCTCCCTCAACGAAAAATAGAAAAAAAAAAAAATTTGATCTTTGTACTTACCATAAAATATATTTATTGTAGTTCATGGAAGACACAGATCCCACCCATCTACATTTATGAACATACTCTTGGTACTACATTTCCACAGAACTAAATATTGCTAGGAGCAAAAGGGAATATAACAGGCTGGCGCGGTTTTTTTTTGTTTGCCAGTGTCCAATTCCTCCTGTAGGCAGCAGTATAAAACTCAACAGTGATAAATTCCTGTGAACTACAAGAAATTGATTTGACGGCAAGTAACAAAATCTAATTTTGGTTATTAATTCGGTTTGTGACGCCTATGGGAAATTTTTCCCTCACTTCTTGCCCACACTGATGACCATACAAGAATTGAGTGAAGCAGTTGTCACCAAAATAGGAAAGCAGACAGATATAGAAACACTTCCATAAGTTTTAACCTGTACTTGCTCCATTGAAAATGTGAGGGGAAATCTCAATGGACGCAAATGTCAATAAAAACCCAACAGTAGTTCCAGAACTTTTCTGCTCTTTTCAGAGCATTTTGGCTAGAGTTGGGCTTTAATTACCACTTATGTACAGTATCTATCTGCATCATCACAGTTGGGGCTGTCCATCTTGAAATGACTGCGCTGATACTGCACCCTTCAGCACAACCATTTCTTTCTAAATGGAGACGAGACAATATGAGCTGTGTTGGTTTTGGCTCTTGCCAAATACCGTACCCATTTTGAAAGAGCTGCTTTCTGTTGATATCTCGGCCAGTGCCATCGCCACACCAAATGGTGATTGTTCTGATGCATCAGTAAGAATTAAGCTATATGCATAGATATATTCAGACAATGATCTTTGGCAAAAATTGTTCCACAGGCCTCAGTGATGCTCTAGGCTTCTCAAACAGAATGTCAACATAGACTTTAGTTTCTTAGGAAAACAAACTACCCCAGTAAATACAACTGATGGCTCAAAATTTGCCATGGACATACAGATATAACATGGGATAATTACCTGTCCATCTTCACTTACCTATGATTCCTTGGGGGGGGGTAACAACATCAGACCACATACTGATGTCTTGAAATTTTACTTTGACAAGGTTTGCTTTCTGGAGTTTATCGGTAGGCAATGCTTTTAACTGATCAACTCTACTGAAGAACAATGTATGTAGAATGGCTCCAGCCTCCATAGCATCCAGCAGCAGCCTCTGGCCTTCCAGTAACACCTGTCCATGACGATCCCGAAAAGATTTGGATTTTGCTACTGAAACGACTTTGCTATATATTAAGAATGAAAAAAATGAGATAAATAAAAAATATCTGATGTAGCCATAGAAAACCACAATGTCAAGAAAGAAAAAGAGAAAGGGGTTAAATGATTTAGGTCATGTTAACGCATATTTAGATGTTCTAGATAATGTAAAAGATCTGGTAATTACATGTGCCATTTCTAAAACAAATTTATTATCTACACTAAAGGATCAAAACAGTGCATATGCTGGTTCAAAATCAAATCTATTATCTGCAATGGTAGCTCATACGGTGCATGCACCAGTTTCAGCTAGTTGTAGATTGTAGAGTGCATATGCTGCTTCGAAGTCAAATGTATCACTTACAATGATAGATCATCCAGTATATAATTTATAGTGGTATATCATACAGCACATCTGCTGGCTGTAAATAAAATGTATTATCTGTAATAGTAGACCATACAGAAAATGTGCTGACTCTAGAGTGAATGTATCATTTAAAGTAGTAGATCGTTTGGTGCATGCAAGAGACTAGGCACAAACGTCATCAGTGGACTGGCCCAAAATAGGGAAGAGGAAGATGGCTGAGGACTTTTTTTTGTGTTTTCACATGGCAGTAAGTGCTTACATGCAGGGGGGACAACAGCAGAAGACATCAAAGAAAGGAAGTAACTATTACCAATTCTGTATGCGCGCGCGCGCGCGCGCACGCACGCACACACGCACGCACACACACACGCACACACCGAAAAATTAGAATATCGTGCAAAAGTTCATTTATTTCAGTAATGCAACTTAAAAGGTGAAACTAATATATGAGATAGACTCATTACATGCAAAGCAAGGTAGTTCAAGCCGTGATTTGTCATAATTGTGATGATTACGGCTTACAGCTCATGAAAACCCCAAATCCACAATCTCAGAAAATTAGAATATTGTGAAAAGGTGCAATATTCTCGGCTCAAAGTGTCCCACTCTAATCAGCTAATTAAGCCATAACACCTGCAAAGGGTTCCTGAGCCTTTAAATGGTCTCTCAGTCTGGTTCAGTAGGAATCACAATCTTGGGAAAGACTGCTGACCTGACAGTTGTGCAGAAAACCATCATTGACACCCTACATAAGGAGGGAAAGCCTCAAAAGGTAATTACAAAAGAAGTTGGATGTTCCCAAAGTGCTGTATCAAAGCACATTAATAGAAAGTTATGTGGAAGGGAAAAGTGTGGAAGAAAAAGGTGCACAAGCAGCAGGGATGACTGCAGCCTGGAAAGGATTGTCAGGAAAAGGCCTTTCAAAAGTGTTGGGGACTTTCACAAGGAGTGGACTGAGGCTGGAGTCAGTGCATCAAGAGCCACCACACACAGACAGATCCTGGACATGGGCTTCAAATGTCGTATTCCTCTTGTCAAGCCGCTCTTGAACAACAAACGTCAGAAGCGTCTCACCTGGGCTAAAGAAAAACAGACCTGGTCTGTTGCTCAGTGGTCCAAAGTCCTTTTTTCTGATGAGAGCAACTTTTGCATCTCATTTAGAAACCAAGGACCCAGAGTATGGAGGAAGAATGGAGAGGCACACACTGCAAGATGCTGGAAGTCCAGTGTGAAGTTTCCACAGTCTGTGTTGATTTGGGGAGCCATGTCATCTGCTGGTGTTGGTCCACTGTGCTTCATTAAGTCCAGGGTCAACGCAGCCGTCTACCAGGAGATTTTGGAGCACTTCATGCTTCCTTCTGCAGACGAGCTTTATGGGGATGCTGACTTCATTTTCCAGCAGGACTTGGCACCTGCCCACACTGCCAAAAGCACCAAAAAACCTGGTTCAATGACCGTGGGATTACTGTGCTTGATAGGCCAGCCAACTCGCCTGACCTGAACCCCATAGGGAATCTATGGGGCATTGCCAAGATAAAGATGAGAGACATGAGACCGAACAATGCAGAAGAGCTGAAGGCCGAAATGTAAAAATTGCTCTGATTCATAGAGGGTGTACAGTGAGGCAAGATCTGAACTGGTTAAGGAATCTTTTGCATTTGACACTTCCAGAAGTGTCAAATTTTCTGGTTCCCTTCACTTGCTGTGTTTCCTCCTGCCGACCCCTACACAAAGGATATATTTTTTTCCTTAAAATAACTAATATTGTATTTATCTCATAATTAGCCTAATCAGTGAAGAACATGATTTAATGGACTTACTCTCTAGTTCCCTGGTCTCCTCCCATGCCCGTCTCCAGGACTTCCCCCATTCTATCAGACTGTCACCTACTTTCCTCACCTTTAGGCGCACTCTGAAACCAATCTCTTCAGGGAAGCCTACCCCGCCCTCAGATAATTACTGAACTCCTCAACTCTTCTTACCACTCCATCCCCCACAGCTATTTCCTCCTGTACCACTATCCCCTCCCTCCTAGATTGTAAGCTCCAAGGAGCATGGCCCTCAAACCCCTCGTGTATTGAATCGTATTGTTACTGTACTGTCTCATGTACTGTCTCCCTTTACATTGTACAGCGCTGAGCAAACTGTTGGCGCCATATAAATCCTGTATAATAATATGAATATGTAACTTATTTGTTACATTGTTTTATAATATTTAGCACTTTGGTGTTATTTCTTATGTTTTAGCATTTTTTTTTTTCATAGGCCAACACTGCACCAGGGGGAGATTGTTCTGCAAAGGGAGACATGCAGAAACAGTGTGAAACTATGAAAACATTCGTAGTGAGCCTTCTCCCTCTAGCACAATGTTACAACTATACATTTTTTCTTTTAGGCCCCCTTTCACACAGGCGGACTGATTAGGATGCGGTCACTGGATATTGTGAATGTGCTACTTGCTGCATTGGCAGCTTTGGAGCTGGTGACTGCGGTACTACACTCATGAGTGGTGGTGATTTTTCTGGATGGTGGAAGTCACACATGGACAGCTGGAATTTCAAAGGGACTTCTTATTTATTTACTTTGAAAATTTCAGTGGACTGTTTTGTAGATTCATTCAAATTCATTTACGATTATTGTTTGATATTCACTTGTTGCTACACTAAAGTGCTACACTTTGTTATATACTGTCTTTGCATGGGTAACACTTCTTAAAGCAGTAAAAATGTAATAAATGGCAGCTTAACAATTCTTAGATGTGGTGAATGAGTTTGTTTTCTTATTTTTTAGACTTTTTTTTCCTCTTTTTTTGCTATTAAACATGTCAGTAAAAAAAATTTTAAAAATCAAATTTCATCATAAATTTAGGCCAAAATGTATTCTGCGACATGTCTTTGCTAAAAGAAAATCCCAATACATGTAAATTAATTGGTTTACGTGAAAGTTATAGCATTTACAAATGGCGGTATATATACTGGGATTTTTTTTTTCTTTTACTAGTAATGGCAGCGATCAGCGACTTATAGCGGGAGTGCAGCAGGCATTCTGACACGGGGGGGGGGGAACTGACTTTGTATCAATGACATCCCCAGTGACACCAATTTAGGGATCAGTGCTAATAAAAAGCACTGACACTGTACTAATGGCACTGGGCAGGAAAGGGTTAACATGTGGGCAATCAAAGGGTTAACTGTGTGGTGTTTAAACTGTAAGCACACGGTTTGTCAAAATTGTAGTGGCAGTTCTCCCTGCAGCTCTCAGCGGGTAGGTGTGGCCGCTGGCCCCATTCACTATAATGACAGGTTGCCGGTGTTCGCACCTATTTGAGCGGCTCTCTGCACAGACATGGATTACCTGTGGTGATCATTGCTGAATGCACTTTCCGCATCCAGCAGCAATCACCACAGGTAATCACTGGCTGTGCAAGGAGACAAAAATAGGTGTGGCTGCCAGCAACAGCGGTGTATTTACCGCGAGGCAAACAAGGCGTTTGCCTTGGGTGGCAATTTTCGGGGGGGGGGGGGGGGGGGGAGCAGTATTAGATGGAGGATAATGATGATGGGCTGGCTTCTTTCTGCAGTGTGGCAAGAAAGTCGGCAGCCGGCAGTGGATGCACATGCTGGGTTCCTGTCTGTGTGATGAGTGACATGTAGGGGTCAGACCTCGGCTCTGGCAGTGTGTGCAATCCTCCAGTGCTTTGCAATGATCATTCCTCATCCGTGAGATCACATGACAGTGTATGTGTGCATCAAAGTGAAAGTGAAATGTCACAGCTGGTCTGTGTGTAAACAGTCTGTGGTGGAGGCTGGATGTCCCACCAGAGGCTCTATACCTATACCTGAATGCAGACTGAAGGGGCAATAGTTCAATTGGTTCACTTATTCCTCCATTAGCTGCTTCCTTTTGGGAATCCCCCAAATTCCTCTGTCTGGGGGAGCACTAGGAAGGATGATACGGATTTCCTGACAGAGATCATTTGATCTGATCCAGTAGTGATGACACTTAAGGGGTGGGATGGTTGTGACCTTTATACCGTGAATAGATCCCATAAACTGGAGCAGCCCAGGGTGACCACTCTATATGCTCTTATGTCCTGCATGCTGTGTACAGGGAGATAATGCAGACTTCATATACCCCCAGTTCCATCTAGTTGGACTACCTTTGATCACACACCATTTCATTCACTGCTCATTCATAGAATACCTAGGAGTTGCCATCTGTCCAGGATTCAACGTGATAGTCTGGGTTTGAATCATTGTAGGAGTTTCAGGCAGACTGAAACCTGGACGCCATTAGTCAGATCAGACTGTGACTCCCCAAGTAACCAAAATAGTCACACATAAATGTGTTGCCATTCCAGGAGCTGCAGGCAGGTTTAGCATCACTGGGGGAACGGGGCGATGATGTGAGCAAGAGCAATTTGGCCACACCCACTGTTCACCATGGCACGCTATGTGCCCGCATTTCTATTCTCCTTGCGGCACCCAAAGGTGTCCCAGGTCTTACAGCGTATACTACAGTAAAAAAAAAAAAAAAAAAAATTGCCCTGCGCCACTACAGTGTTCAGGTTCGGCTTAAAGAAACAATGGCAACCCTAGGCCAGGGGGCTATGGTTGCGACGGTCAGTGGTGGCAGACGGTGGTGGGGGGGGGGGGGGGGGGGGTTTGGCTCTGTGTTGCATAGGGCAGCACATTAACTAAATACACCACTGGCCAGCGACCTGTTATTATAGTGAATGGGGCCAGCGTCCACACCTACCCCCTTAGGGCCGCAGGGAGGACTGCTGTTACAGATCACACTGGCCCTAATTGCCAGTGTAAATATTGCCTAATGTTGCCCTCTCTCCAACTGAGGACGCTGCTGCCCAAAGGTATGACTCTTGAACCTCCAACCTGGTCCAATAACCAGGCGAAAAAGGAAAAAAGTGTAAAAGAAAAAAAATTTAAACTAATGAAGCGACCACATTTAAGGATTGGTAATCTGCAATCTATTACACTATTGTTTTTTGGCTTAAAAACTGCTTAAACCACTTCCCATCCAGCGTACATCCTCAGATGGGAAAGCTGGTATCTTGGTCATTGCTGCAGCAGGTATCATCTTGTAGCCCCAGCATATCTGCACGCAATAAAAGTAATCCAAGTGGCTAACGAGCAGCTGGATTACTTTTACAGGTGGCCCCACCACACTCTTGCTGACGCTTTTACCGGGCTGTCCCATGCAATTGCAGAGCCTGGCAAGGACAAGACTGGCAGCATCCAGCTCTAGGCACACAGTGAGAGGAACAGAAGTCGTTCCTCCCACTATTTGACGTCAGAAACAGGAAGCGACAAGGATTTCATCACTTTTTGTTTCGGTCCTTTCGTTTACCTTCCCAGGGAAGCAACCGATCTGTGTCTGATCAGCTGCATTGGAGGCCAGAGGAGATATTTGGTGTCTAATAGACCCCCGATCTATCCATAAAGAAGACCTGTCATGGCCTATGCTATTACAACGGATGTTGTTCAGCCCTTGTAATAGAAATAAAGTTGATTTTAAAAAAAAAATGTAAAGTTACAGTGTAGAAAAAAAAAAAAAATTAATAAATTTAAAAGTGCCCCCCCCCCGTGCTCATAAATGTGAACGCGCACACAGGACCTGCACGCATATGTAAACAGCGATCACACCACATATGTGAAGTATCGCTGCGAATGTCAGCGAGAGCACTAACTTTAGAACCAGACCTCCTGTGTTACTCTAAACTGGTAACCTGTAAAGGCTTTTAAATTGTTGCCTATGGAAATGTTTAGGTAGCATAATCTGGAACCGTACCACAGGTGGAACGCAATTTTAAAGCATGACATGTTTGTTATCTATTTACTCGGCGTAATAATCTTTTATATTCTACCAAACAATTGGGTATTATATTGTGTTTTTGTGAATTAAAATCCATTAAAGTGTATTTTTTCCCAAAAATTTGCATTTGATAAACCGATGCGCAATTATCGTGTGACATCAAAATATGCAAAGCCCACCATTTTATTCTCTAGGGCCTCTAATAGATATGTTTGGAGGTTCTAAGTCTTTTTCTAGCAAAGAAAAAAATTTTTTACATGTAGGAGAGGAACACCAGAATTGGCTCAGACTGGACATGGTTAAACATTTTATGTTAATTGGCAGTGGCAGTTTAAAAATGTATGACACTTTTCCATATGAATCAATCACATATGACATTACATGTGGCATCCATCACATCACATATGGGTGTATTTATAAAAAAATAAATAAATGAAGAGCTATTCATCCTTCAAAACTGTATTGTACATTTGTTCTGTATGAACACTAGTAAAACGGAGTGTTACTGGCAGCTGCACAGAGAGTGCTTCCTATCAGATGCAGTCACTGTTCAGCAGCACAACTGCTGCCGCCTAAATACACTGAATTCACCCCCATCCATCCTGTTAGAAATTGAGGGATTTTCTGTCTCTTGTGGGCTGAATGGCCAAAATTTGAAACATCTGTGCCAAGCCTTTCTCATGTCAAAACATGAAACGCATGAAAACGTACACACAAAAGGTGAAAATGGAGCAGATATTTCACAATCACTCTGCACACATTACAGTCAGCCTGGCCTGGAGGTGATCACTAGGGATGCACTGATACGCTTTTTTGATCAGCGAGTACCAAAACTTTGCAGTGCGATTTGCATCAATCAGTTTAGGCTAGATGGCTTTGGATTGGTCATAACCGTCACATGGAAGGTGCTAACCAATCAGAAGCCATCCAGCCCATGCAGTCATCCCTGCAAGGAGAGGAGAGAAAGCTGCTTCACAGGTCTAAGGATTTGAAATCCTTGTGGCTATCTCTCCTCTCCTTGCAGAGATGACAGTACGGGCTAGACAACTTCTGATTGGACAGCACCGTCCTCCTTCACAGGTCTGCGGATTTCAAATCCCTGTGTCTTCTTATTTCCTACAGCTGAGAATCCAGAGCATCTGTCACCAAGGTATACATCCACATTTTCTCCCATTCTCTGCTTAGCATGGAAATTGGTGCAGGCAGGTTTCCTGTGTGAACTCAAGCCTGGGTTCACACAGGAGCAGTGGGGAAACCACATGTGATTTGGACAGGAATCGTATTCCAGTTCAAATCGTATGCTATTCTTTGCGGTGCAATTTGCATTGCCGCAGATCACACCACAAAGAATTGGTTTCTGGTATCGGGAGCATTTTCACAAAACCTTTTGGTATCAGTGCATCCCTAGTGATCACATTATGCCAGCAGGAAAGGCAGCCCTCACACTGGTACAGGCAGCTAGAACCTGTGGAAGATCTGCTGATTAGTGGTTGTTAGAAGTGACAAGGGGTCTTTGAATTACCCGAGTCGGTTATCTCCAGAGCGGGCTCTCTCGTATTTCAGCTCCACTGGAAGGGCCTGTTCAGGTACCTCCTGATCATCTGATGTGTCCTTCATCTGGCTCATGTCCTCATTGACCAGCTGATGGTGTGCCTGCTCCTTCTGCTGTGCCAAGGTCACCCTCCCCTGTGCCTGGCTACCCCTCTCCTCCTTTTGTGTCAGGGCCACCCTATCCTGTGGATACCTCTGCTCCTTCTGTGGAAGGGCCCCCCTCTCTTGTGGATACCTCTTCTTCTGTGGAAGGGCCCCCCTCTCCTGTAGATGCCTCTTCTCCTTCTGTGTCTGGGCCCCCCTCTCCTCTGGATACCTCTTCTCCTTCTGTGTTAGGGCCCCCCTCTCCTGTGGATACCTCTGCTCCTTCATCAGGGCCCTCCTCTCCTGTGGATACCTCTGCTCCTTCTGTGGAAGGGTCCCCCTCTCCTGTGGATACCTCTGTTTCTTCGTCAGGGCCCCCCACTTCTGTGGATACCTCTGCTCCTTCTGTGGAAGGGCCCCCCTCTCCTGTGGATACCTCTGCTCCTCCTGTGTCAGGGCCCCCCTCTCTTGTGGATACCTTTGGTTCTCCTGTTGCAGGCTGCCCCTGTCCTGTTTCTGCTCCTTCTGCGGCCTGAACTCTCTGGCCGGGGGAATAACCCTCACCGGCGTCCTCCTCAGGGCCCGCACATCCCGCTTCACCTGTATAGTCCCAGGAACCTGAACCAAACCCAGCCGGCTACAGCGCAGCACGCTTCTCATGAGCGCCGCCATCATCGTCCCCTACTGACCTGTCCCGCTAAGTGACGTGAGGCAGCACATGCGGCCGCCATGTTGTGGTTGGCAAAGCAGGTTTCACACACGACGTACTATGCATTTATTTTACACCGCTACCTCGGCTAATGGATTTATTTCAGCCTCACTAGCTCGGTGCTCAGCCCGCGGATAAATTGCTGTGAACGCAGAGCCCGGCGTTGGTGGTTCCTTGGTGACGTCATTAGAAGGCGCAGGCTGTGAGAGTGTGTATGTACTGACAGGAAGGATGGGAGGTAGGAGAGCTCTGCATTATGTTCTGAAGATCGGTGACAGGGGCCAGACAGCCTGTTTCTTCAGAGATGTCCTGGGGATGAAGGTGAGGGAATGACAGGCCTGTGTGCTGGCTGGGTCTTGTATACTTCTTCCAGGGTGCTGTATAAGGCATGAAAACTTCACTGACTTAAAGAAAAGTTTGCTTACCAATACACTAGTGGCTGTTTGTCAGCTCAAAAGCAGCCTGCTTGTGAAGCAATGCACTTTTCTAGATGACTGTAACACTACCGGAAACACTCCTGGAATGTTGCACAGTATTATTATTTTTATTATACAGTATTTATAAAGCGCCAACAGTTGGCTCAATGCTGTACATTACAATGAGAAACAATACATGCGATAGTACAATAATAAAGTGCGATACACGAGGGGTTCGAGAGCCCTGCTCCTTGGAGCTTACAATCTAGGAGGGAGGGGATAATGGTACGGGAGGAAATGGCTGCGGGGGATGGAGTGGTTGTAGGAGGTCGGCAAGTTAGCAGGGGGGTGGGGTAGGCTTCCCTGAAGAGGTGGGTTTTCAGGGTGTGCGCCTAAAGGAGAGGAGAGTAGGTGATAGTCTGATGGATTGGGGTAGGGAGTTCCAGAGGATGGGTGACACCCTGGAGGCGGGCATGGGAGGAGGAGACCAGGGAACTAGAGAATAGGATGTCTTGTGAGGAGCGGAGAGTGCGTGCTGGGTGGTACTTGGATATTAGGTTGGTGATGTAATTTGGGGCAGTATGATGGGACAGCTTTGCACGTCAATGTTAGGATTTTGAATTTGATCCGTTGGGCAATTGGAAGCCAGTGGAGGGACTGGCAGAGGGGGGTGGCGGAAACGGAGCGGTTGGAAAGGTGAATGAGTCTGGCTGCCGTATTCAGGATCGACTGAAGCGGGGATAGCCAGCGGCGAGGCAGGCCAGTGAGGAGGGAGTTGCAGTAGTCGAGTTGTGATATGATGAGGGAGTGGATGAGCTGCTTAGTGGTTTCTGGGGTTAGGAATGGGCATATTTTGGCGATGTTGCGGAGGTGGAGTCTGCATGAGTTTGTGAGTGATTAGACTTGGGGCTGGAAGGATAGATTGGAGTCAAGTATGACACCAAGTACTCTGGCCTGCGGGATACAGTATCTTTGTTGTGGCTTGCTGGATGTCCAGAATATCATCACATCTGCGGTTTTAAGGAATTTTTTAATTCTGGAAGCAGCCAAAAGTCACAGGGTGCTAAGTCAGGGAATACGGTGGTTTGTTCAGTTTCAGAATAAATTTCTGAGCCATGAAGTCACAAACCCCTAGCCCACATTCACACTAATGTGACTTGTCATGCAAAGTTGCATCCCATGTCTTTCAATGGCCCTGTTCTCAGAGATGTTCCTGCAGTACTTTTGTGTATCTTTATTGCGACTTGCATTGAGATGTATCCATGAAGTGGAAGCAAGTCTCAATGAACTTGCACAACATAGTCTGACTTGAAATGGTTGTAAAGGCTCAAGGTTTTTTACCTTCATGCTTTCTATGCATGAAGGTAAAAAAACCTGTGTGCAGCAGTGCCCCCAGCCCCACCTACATAATCTCCTAAGCCCCCTCTTGATCCAGCAATTTGCACTGGAGTCTCGGCAGTGCTGGGACTCCCTTTTCTCATTGGCTGAGACAGAAGCTGCAGCCATTAGCTCCCACTGCTATCAGTTACAGGCAGTGAGGAGAGAGGGCGTGGGACCGAGCTTTAGCTCCATGTGTGAATGGGCACACAGAGCAGCTGGTGCCCCCATAGCAAGCTTCTTACTCTGGGGGCACCCAACAGGAGGGAGGGGCCAGGAGAGCCTGTGGAGGATCCAAGAAGAGGAGGATCTGGGCTGCTCTGTGTAAAACCACTGCAAACAGCAGGTAAGTATAGACATGGATGTTTTTTTTTTCTTCTTTAAAAAAGAAACCTTTAGAATCACTTTAAAATCATACGGCTTCGGGTTCACATTGGTGTGAAGCAAGGCTTAACGCATCCTTGTTGTGGTTGAGAATCCACTTATGTGGCTAGAGTTCCAGTCCTTTCCTCTCACCGTATGAGAGTTTGCATTCTATGCATTAAGGGAAAAAAATCTGGGCACAGTTTCCCCCTCAACCCCTCTTTTACTTACCAGAGCCCTCTCTTGATCCAGCAATGTGCATGAGAGCTGCAGCTTTCCTGGGTCTCTCTCTCTCCTGCTGTCAATCACAGCCAGTGAGCCAATCAGGGTAGTGCTTGGGGACAGGGCCAAGCTACGCTCTGTGTGAATGGACAATGTCCATTCACGGGAGTATGGCTCGGGAGTGAGCCTGCTCGAGTGCCCCATAGCAAGAGGCTTGCTATTGGAGGCATTTGTCAGGGGGGAGGAGCCAGGACTGCCTGCAGGGGACCCAAAAAGAAGAGGATCAGGACTGCTCTGTGCATTATAACCTTTAAAATCATATTAAGAGGAAAGCACCAGTATAATGGGGCACTCACCACTGATCACCAACATTAAAGGAGCACTTGCCACATTAAGGTGGCACGAACTACAGACCACTTTATCTGTAAACCGTTCTGTAATACATAGCCCTAACCCGTGGGCTCGACTTTTAGGGCCTGGAGAAATGTGATGCATCAGTTTTTTTCAATTTGTTTCCATGTATAGAAATAAAACACCCCACTGATTCAATTACTTCCAAAATACAGCTCTATCTGTATGTTCAGTAGTTATAGAAAAGGATCACCCCTTTCAAAATAATCACATTTTGTTGCTTTGCAGCCTGAAATGAATCTCAAGAGTTGGAAAAAGGATCCCCCCTTGTGTCAGTATTTTGTCGAACCACATTTTGCTCAATTACAGTCTTTAGACTGTTGAGATTTGTCTCACTAACTTTGCACATCTAGACATTGCAATATTTGCCCACTCTTCTTTGCAGAACCGCTCAAGTTCAGTAAAATTTTGATGGTAACCGTTTGTGAACTGCAGTCTTCTCATTCCACAGATTTTCAATGGGGTTTAACCACTTGCCTACAGGGCACTTCTACCCCATTCCTGCCCAGGCCAGTTTTCAGTTTTCAGTGCTGTCGCACTTTGAATGACAATTGCGCAGTCATGCAACACTAACCATAAGAAATTTTTATCATTTTTTTGAGACAGAGCTTTCTTTTGGTGGTATTTAATCACATCTGGGTTTTTTATTTTTTGCTAAACAAACCAAAAACAACTGAAAATTTTGAAAAAAAAAAAGTTTTTTCTTAGTTTTTGTTATAAAATTTTGTAAATAAGTGATTTTTCTCCTTCACTGATGTGCGCTAATGAGGCTGCAGTGATGAGCACTGATAGGTGGCACTGATGAGGAGGCACTGATTGGCAGCACTGAAAGGCAGCTCAGATGGGCTCTGGCATTGATGGGCACTGACATTTGGCATTGATGGGCACTGACAGGTGGCACTGCTGGGGCTATACTGATCATCAGTGCCCTGATGATCAGTGTACATGTCCCCTCTGAGGAATGCCAGTCACCGACTCTCCTCTGCTCTCGAGCTGTCAGCGTGACAGCTCGTGAGGAGAGAAATGCCGATAACCGTCGTTTCCCTATTTACATGTGATCTGTTGTGATTGGACACAGCTGATCACATGACTGAGCCGACATCTTCGGCTCTTTCCCTTGATCGGTGATCCACTGTGTCCGAGGGCCGTGCACACCCAGTTAGAGTGGGATGACGTCCTCCCAGAACGAGAGAACCGCCTTGCGCCCGTCATTACCTTATCTGCCGGGTGGGAAGCGATTAAAGTGTTATTAAACCCAGGACCCTGCATTTACTATATCTGTCCCCCATAACATAGAAATGCAGTTATTTTAGTAAATATAAACCGCTAAATGCCTTCTCTCATCAGCAGTTAGAGCAGTCTTGTGACTTCTATTAGTGTCCAGCAGAGCACTGGTTAAAGCTTATAGCGATATTATTCTCCTCTTAATGTCCTATTAGACTGCAGGACCCCTGACCCTCTGTCTGGACATTGCTGATTGGCCCTGTGCTGATCACATGCACTCCCCAAAAAAAACAAACTTCTCAATACAGACCAAACTGAGCAAGTGCAGTTTTCTCCCAAGGCTCTGTTCCATCAGGAGATGAGTGGGGTACAGTGGAAGAAGGGAAGGATCAGAGAAGACATCCTTTTTACACAATGCAGAGGATTAACCCCTTAAGTTCCAGTCAGTATAACAAGCATGCTTTACTGCATATATACACTCATCAACCTTTTTTTGAGGTACACCATTTCAATTGTTTGGTAACACAAATTGCTAATCAGCCAGTCACATGGCAGCAACTCAGTGCATTTAGGCATCTAGACGTGGTGAAGATGACTTGCTGAAGTTCAAAACAAGCATCAGAAGAAAGGAGATTTAAGTGACTTTGAATGTGGCATGGTTGTTGCCAGATGGGCTGGTCTGAGTATTTGAAAAACTGCTGATCTTCTGGGATTTTCATGCACAACCATCTCTAGGCTTTACAGAGAATGGTCCGAAAAAGAGAAAATATCCAGTGAGTGGCAATTGTGTGGAGGAAAATACCTTGAGGTCAGAGGAGAATGGGCACACTGGTTGGAGATGATAGGCAACAGTAACTCAAATAACTACTCATTACAACCAAGGTATGCAGAATACCATCTTTGAATGCACAACATGTCGAACCTTGAAGCAGATGTTTTACAGTAGCGGAAGACTACTTCGGGTGCCACTCCTGTCAACTAAGAACAAGAAACGGAGGCTACAATTTGCACAGGCTCACCAAAATTGGACAACAGAAGATTGAAAAAAATGTTGCCTGGTCTGATGAGTCTCGGTTTCATCTGTGACTTTCAGATGGTAGAGTCAGCATTTTGGGTAAACATGAAAAAACGGATCCTTCCTGCTTTGTATCAACAGGTCAGGCTGGTGGTGATGATGTAATGGTGTGGGGGATAATTTTGGCATACTTTGGGCCCCTTAGTACCAATTGAGCATTGTTTAAATGCCACTGCCTACCAGAGTATTGTTGCTGACCATGACTACAGTGTACCCATCTTCTGATGGCTACT